ACTTACACATACACACACACACACACACACACACACACACACACACACACACACACACACAGACATAGTGACACCCTTGCGGGAATAGTCAGGAAAGCTTCCTAGGATCTCAAAACGTGTAGATCTGATGAAAACTCGATTTTCGAAAAACGAGGTAAAACCAATAACTTCCCGATTTTTGAAAATTTTCAATTTTCTTAGCGGGAAGTTAAAAATTGCAAAGGTAATAGAAATTATCACTCCACAATTTAATTTATACCAAAAAATATTTATTTGAGTGAAAAAACGAATGAAAAATTAAGAAATAATAAATTCATAACAACTTGAGAACAATCGGTATGTCTTCCAATTAATAAAATTAGCCTCAAAGTTTTTCTAAATTGATTTTTTCTTTACTTCAGATCTATTTACAATTAACAAAAGAGTTTTGTAAGCCATTTAGAACTGTAATTTTGAAAGAGTTATTCAAAAAGAAATTTGTTCTTGAGAATTGTTATGATTCTTCAATACCAATATCTTGAAGCAAGTTTGATAACCTAAACCATTTTTGTACATCAAATACTGTCCCACAAAATATTATCGGTATTATCGAAGTTTAATTTTTAGACATGGTCATATAGTTTATAAATTTTTTTTTCATTATCTAGTTATGTTAAAAAAAAAATTAAAAAAATCTTTTTTTTTATTTTTATAATCTTAGACACAGTTGATCTTGACGATAGAGATGGCATTGGACTAATAACCTGATGAATTTATTTTTCCATAATTTTTAATAGTTTTTTCGCTTAAATAAATATTTGTTGACATAAATTAAGTTGTGGAGTGATGATTTCTATTACCTTTGCAATTTTTTTTCAACTTTTAAAAATATTTTTTAGTATTGAAAATCGAAAGAGTAATCATGTTTTGAAATTATTCAAACTTTTCAAAAAATTATTACTCTTATTATCATTATTTTAACACATGAATAAAAATAATTATCAAAAAAAAATACGAATGAGTTTATGTATTAGATTTGAATCATAAAAATAAACAAAACTAATAAAATCTGTGAGAAGCAAACAAATTTCAACAAAAGAATATTTTTATAAATTCCTGAGTTGTTTCAACAACGACGCCTACCCTCATATTAAACACAATAAAAACGGAAATACAATCTGGACTACAAATAATAAAACCTCACAATTTAATTGAATATCACCTCCCTCATTCTCAAATATAATGTATATATATAAAGTAAAGCCAACATCCTACGTCCTGCATCTGACCTTTGATACGAGCAAGGGGATAAGAACCCAATGAGAACCGTACTGAACTATATAGCCATAGGGGTACAAATAATAATAATGGCTTTATGTTCTATCTGGTATATATTTGAAATCACGATACCCACTTTCATACATACATTTACTTACTTACTCACTTATATACATATCTTATATATTCATTGAATTACTCTCTACGAAGATAAATTATACGATTCGTAGAAAATTGTTTACATTCGAATGTTTTTAAATCAACGGTTAGTCTAGTGGGAAAGTGTTTCCTTACAATTGGTATGAAATTTTTAATCTAATTTTTTATGCATATTTTGGTTTACTTGATGTGTTTTTAAATTGTTTTATTTTTTATCAGTAACTTTAAAGTAATCTTAGAACTTTTGGCCCGCACTTAGAAAATTAGATTGATTTTGTCACGTTCAAAAGTAAATAGTATCATAATTTTAGATCAATGGTTAAGGCTAGATATCTTTGAAACGGCTCGACTTATGCAAATTTTTAATTGGACCTTTTTTATAGAACATCCAATCTCCTACAAAAAAATCCCTTGCTTATTCTTAAGAATAATTTGTTGCCGAGTAATAAAATTCTAAAACCGAAATAAAAATTTTTTTAGAGTTATTTAAATGTAAATAGAAAATTGCGATATTTAAACTTTTAAATATCAAAATTAAGAACTTATTATTCTAGTACGGTCTTTATCTACGCTGAAGAAAAATAATTTGATTTATAATAGAAACTTTTGAATCAATAAAATAATTTTTAAGGTTCAAGTGAAATTTATTTGATTCTAATATTTTTACCTGCACGGAGAAAATTTTATAGTAGAGTTTATTATCTAGTTATGTTAAAATCTATTAACTGAATTCAATAGTAGTAAATGTTATTTAAATAATTAAGTAAACCATCTGAATTGTAGTATTTACCATCCTGATGGTAACTACTACTATTATGATGGAAATCAGTATTAATAGCTGTTATTATTTTAATTAGTTACTACTATTATTAAAATCGTAATTCCTAATATAACCTGATGGTTGTAGAGTAGTTACCATCAGTAATAATAATAACCACTATCTAAACTAGTAAAAAATATTTAAAAAATTAA